GATAATTCTCTCCAACTTTGGTTACTGTCATCACTTTTGCTTTATTTTCACTCTAATTCTTGGTTTCTGATCTTACTGGACCCTGAACCCTCTACTCCACTGCATTGGGATGACTTGCCTGTGTCCATTCACCAGGTATCAGACACAGATGTTTCTCCTAAGCTCAGTATCCCAGTCTCTATCAGAGTACCAGTCCTCCGTGCCCACACACAGGCTGAACTGATCACAGAGACTCCCGGTTCTTTGCCTAATCTATACCTGCATACTGGGAGCCATGTATGCCAACAGGATTCATTTTAATTGGGAAGATCAATAATTCTTCCTTTACTTTCCTCAATAGTTATAAATTTATGTAATCCCCTTCCCAGGATATATTTAAGCTCCAGATTGATACCCAACTACATGAGAAGATTTAGAAATCCTAGTCATCCAGGTGCTTAAGAATTTAGGACCTAGGGTCAGAAAGACTGGTTTCAAATCCTAGCTTTGCTATTTTGTAGCTGTGTAACAGAGTTTTAGACCTTAGTTCCAGCCCTACATATTTATCTAAAGACAGCTGTTTCACGTAGGGGAAGAAGCATGGTCTGGGGCAGCAGAGACATAGTTTCAAATCTTGCACCTAATATTTATGGAATGAATCTCTCTTTCTGCTTCTGTTTTTCATATATAAAATGGGATGACGATGCACAGTAAACGATTGTGTTTGCCTGCCACTGGGTAAGGGGCATTCCTGTTATAGACCAAGGAGAACTGGAGAAAGGAGCACAAATCTGTTCAAGGTTTCATTGTAGATGCCAGTCTGAGTGTTCTCAACTTGGTTATTATTTTTTTAAAAAAAGGGAGAAGGATATTCCTGAACTAATACTACTGAAGCTTGTCACCTGGGGCCCAAAAGAACTATCAGAATTGCAAATTTTCAATCTCTCTGGAGATGATGCCTACTAGTGTATTGTAAGGAAGCCCTTGAACAAAGAAGGTAAGAAACCCAGGACCAAAGTGCTCAGGATTCAGTGTCCTGTTACTCCACGTTTCCTGTGACACAAACATCAGTGTATTGCTCTGAAGAAACTGCGTACTAAGCAAACTAAGGACGAGCCAGCAGAATATGATACACTTTTGGCCAAGGGAATGAAAGAGGCCAAAGGAAAATGCCAGGAACAGACTGCCGAGAGACAGAGGCTGTACCTGCTGCGAGCTTCTATCTCTAAGTCTGAGTCCAGTAAAAACATGATTTCCTAAGAGTAACAAATTAACAAGATCAGACATTACAAAAGATTAAATGAGATACAAATCTATGAATATATTTCACCACAAAACGATTTTGAAAATGTTATTTCTAGCTCCCGGAAGGGTACCCTCACATAAGGGTCATAGTCAGGGTTCAAATGGGTCAAAGAAAGAAAGAAAGAGCGATTCTTTCTTCAACCTGCTTTTCTCCCTGTGTTTCTTTCTCTTCAGGGTGAGCTCTTAACCATCCCCAGAACAAGTTAGCTTAAGCACCACATCACTTTCAAACCTTAAGAGAACATGGAAACCTGGAGCATTTGTGACCAGAAGGCATTCCCTTCTGATTGTGAATAAAGAGGGTGAAGAATAGATTCTTATGTGCAGGGCAAAAGTTCTGGTTAGAAATTGTCCCCAAACACTGACAAACACAGCGACTATGTGAAGAGCGATATTGGGAATGAGTCCGTATTGGGAGTTATCCTTTCTAAATTTAGAACCTCAGAATGTTGTAGCTGGATACTCTAGAGTGAGGGGTCTAAACTCAAATACCAGTAGGAGACAAGCACATATTCTTGACGAGAGAAGCTGCCTGGTGGGAACCGTGGCGTCAGGAGAGGGCTGACATCTAAAGGGGCAGATGCAACTCTACTTCTGGTGATTGTTGCTTTGATGTTCACTGTAGTCAGATTCTCCAATTTGTTAGGAGTAACTGGATTTTAACATAAAATCCTTTAAAATATGTGCAGCTAATTAAACAAACAAACAAGCGGATGCTGTGTTGTAACTGCCAATCGAGTTAACGGACTCCTAAGTTTTAAAGAAACTGAGGCTCAGCAATGAGAAGTGACTGCTTCACAGAAAACTGTCAGAGACAAGTATTCTAGATATGATTGATGGTAAGACGCTAGTCTAAAGTTCATTTATTAAGACCAATTCCATGGCCACTCGAATGCTAAAAATTCACTGATGGAACCTAGTGTGGTAGATCAAAAAATTAATCTAATTCTTCACTTCCCTTTAAATAGAATGGTACATTCATGCTGTTACCATGGCTTAGTGGTGGGTAGAGTATATATACCCACCTGTGACTTTGAGCTTGACCTTGTGGACTGCTTTGACCGATGGGATGTTAGTGGATGTGACTCAAGCAGAGGTTTAAAATGTGTTTTCATGTCTTTCTTCTGCGCCCGTACATTTCTTGTACTTCTTAGTGTGTCCAAATGTCCCCTTATATAGATACCAGTCAGACTGGATTAGTCTGACAGCCTCATTTTAACTTCTGTAAAGGCCCTCTCTCCAATACAGTCACATTTTGGGGTACTGGGGGTAAAGGCTTCAACACATGAATTCTGGGGGACATGATTTAACCTATAACACACAGGTTACCATTTGACTAGAGTGGCCGTTTTTTGTTCAAACCCAGACACACTGAGAGTGCTAAAATGCCAACGCACATCAGATTCTGGGACAACCTGCAGAAACTAATACTGGATATATGGCCATGCCCTCCTGGTGGTGGGGAAGTGGGATATTTAGCCTTCCTCACTCTGGATCAGGGTCTGCTCCAACAGTTCTGATGGCTGTTACAAAAGCTTGTTTCAGCTCTCAGGCTGAACTAAGAAATGCCTCGGCTGACTGACATGAAAAAAGATTTAATTAACCTCTTTGAACACCATCCCCCAGAACTGGCCATGTCTGCTTTCTCACTTCTGCCTGCTGATCCCCTACCACCTGTCCTTAAAAATCTGTGATGCACATGTACCTGGTTCCTTGGGCAGCTTTTGTTTTGATGCTGCACAAACTCCAAAGTCAGACTCAGTAGCCACCACTGAAGATGATGCCCAGTGCAGCCCACTTGCCCACGTTGTTAGATTTGTGGAAACAAGACTGTTTCTGCCTTTTCTCAACAGCAGTGGTTCTCAACCTGGGCTGCACTTCAGAATCACATGCGAAGCTTTTAAAAGCCCTGATGCTGCCAGCACTCCTGACCAATTCAATCAGAAGCACTGGAGGTAAAACCCAGGCATCGGTATTTTTTATATAGCTCTGCTGGTTACTCCATCGTGCATCCCCTTTGAGAATTAGCTCTCTAGATCCTGGCTGCTAAAGTGTGGTCAGTGGACCACCGTCCCTTGGGAGCCTGTTAGAAAAGCAGAATCTCGAGCCCCACCCCAGACCTGTGGAATCGGAATCCGCATTTTCATGATTCCTAGATACGTTAATGTCTGAGGAGCGCTGAGCTATATCATCTGTTCTCACCTTTGGCTGTACACTAGAAATGCATGGGAAGCTTTAAAAATGCTGGTGCTCTGACTGCACAGAAACCTGATTCAGTTACACCCATAGGAGTGAGGACCAGCAACCAGGATTGTTTAGATCTTAGATCTTAGCAGATGATTCAAATTGAGCCACTGCTTTAGGCTCTAACATTTATCTGTTTGAAACAAAATTTTTCAAACACTCAAATGCCGAAGCCTTAATAGGTCAGTGAGCCGTATCGTCTCCCAATGCCACAGTGCCAGCCAGGAGTGATGTGTCATCAGAGGAGTTGTAGAGTAATTGCAATCTGGACTTCTCTGCTCCATTGGTGCTAGCTCATTTGTAGAATCACTATGGCTGTTGGGACCTGGAGGGCCTAGAAGTGAATTCTAACAGAGGGTCAGAATAAGTGCCCAGATATTTTATTAGGAACTTCAGGAAAAGTCCTTCCAGAAAGAGATCCAGACCTGCTTCTGTCCTGAAGCTTGCCTGGCATGGGCTGGACCAAGCTACATTTGTGGGCAGACATTCCAAGCTGTGAAGGCCTAAGGCAACTGGAAATGACTTAGGGATCACTAAGTGTCACTTTCTTTGCTGCTGTTGAATTTTTGTAGCCACACTCTATATATAAACTACAAAAATGTTATTACTATATTAAATACATAACAATAAATATATCATGGGTTGATTGTGTCCCCCTCCAAAAGATGTGTTGAAGCCCTAAGCCTCTGTATCTCACAATGTGACCTTATTTGGAAGCAGGGTGTTTACCAAGGTAATCAAGTTAAAATGAGGTCATTAAGGTGAATCCAACATGACCAGTGTCCTTAAAGAAGGGGAAATTTGGCCACAGAGACAGATGTGCACAGAGGTAAGACCATGTAAAGAAACACAGGGAGAAAGACAGCCATGTGACTATAGTGATCTATCTATAAATCAAGAAACACCAAGGATTATTGGAAAATACTAGAAGCTGGAGGACACAAGGGAGGATTCTCCCCTAGAACCACCAGAGAGAGTTTGGCTCTGTGGACCGTTTGATTTCAGATTTCTAGCCTCTAGGACTGTGAGACTATAGATTTCTGTTGTTTTCAGTCACTTTGGTTTTGGTACTTTTTTATAGCAGCCTTAGGAAACTAATACAACAAGTAAGGCTAAAAATGAATTAAGATGAAATTTTCCAAAATTACCCTAAAGAACGAAAAAACTGGATAAGGAGATTCTAAAATTGAATAGCTCTTTTGAAAGATTCTTTTTACTGATAAATATAAGTATATAGATGCTTAAAATAAAAAGCTGAAGAGATTTTTGCTAAAAGATGTCATATTTTCCAGCACTCAATGAATGGAACTTAACTTAGAGCCATTTGTGGAAATGTGTTTTCCCTTTCGAAATCATTAAAACATACATTGTTTCTCTTTATGTTAGTTTTATGATGCATGTTGGAATTCCAAATAAAATATTGTTTAGATGCTTATGCACTAAGGTTGTTGCTTTGCAATGAGACACAAGACTGGGCGGAAGAATATCTTTCTATATCAAGGCAGTGAATCCTTAGTCAATGGTCCAAGTGTACTTTACAGTAGGATTTTATTATGATATCAAAATATTTTGATAGGCAAAAGACTATGAATACAGAAAGACCTCTCTGTTCTACAAATCCTAATATCAAGCACATTTGCCAAGAAGTCAGATACTGCCTTTTAAAACATGCTCATATCTTTTGTTTTATTCTTTGCTTCTGTGTCACTACACCTGCAAGTGTTAAATCCAAGGGACCTGGAAACCTTTCCATATTTCTCCTCCCGATAGCCCCAGATGAAAGTACACATGCTAACTTGGCTGAGCTTTTTCATCAGTTCCTGAAGTTTCTACAAAAGCATGTTGCTGACCAGGAAACTGGGTCAGGCAATTGTTCTGCAATAAAGATGATCTTTTGAAGTGTCTCAGCAGCTGCCTACCTTGAACAGGAGTCCCGTGGTTCATGCTCTTCACAAATTGAGCCTCAGGCCTCAGATATTATTTCTCTGCTTTAATAACAATGAAAAAAAACTTTGCCCTTTTGTTCGCCACCTTCCTTTGGGCTTTCTGATTGATGAACCTATTCACTTAAACAGAGTTTTTAAAATTGCTTTAAAAAATACAACCACTTCCTGAAATATATTTGTAAAGGAAAGCTATCTCTTGAAACTCTGTGAAGCTAGTACATAAGAAATACTGCCATGTTGCCATAGGACAACCACCATTGACTTGGGCAGAATCTCTAAGAGGCAGTTTGACTTCAGCTTGAACAGGATTTGATCTTTCAGAGTCAGAGGTATTTTCCAGGCCTTGGGATTTCCTACGCACCCACAACAGAGGCATTTTCTCCCTTAATTCCTCAGTAAAGAAAGAACTAAGTTGTGGTTTTTCTTTTGATATCAACTGACAACATTAGCATATTCAGAGTGAAATATGTATAACTCATTGGATCAGATACCGTTTAACAGGGACATGAATTATGAATCAATGAAAGAAGCTGTCACCAGCTATGTTACCTTGATATTAATAGCATGAACAATCAATGTTGGAAGTATCTGGGGCACATGTGCCATTAAACCCATGTTGTCTTTCAAGAATGAGATAGAGATAGAGGAGGGAGAGAGGGGAGCAGCGTGTGAGAGTGGGCTAGAGAGATCGAGGGATAATATTATTTATGAGGGTTTCTTTTAACGTCCAGTGGAATTCAAATAACTCACCTGTTAGAGTCCCAAGCTGATGCAGTTTCACTCGGATCATGCGACCTGAGAAAAGAGATATCATCACTAGATTAACTTTTGTTGTCTACAACAAGGGCCAGCAGCCTATGGCCACTGCTTACTTTTGTATGGTCTGAGAGCAAAAAATGTTTTTACATTTTTAAATAGTTGAAAAAAATCAAACAAAGAATATTATTTTGTGACATGAAAATTACATAACACTCAACTTTCAGTGTTCATAAAATTTTATTAGAACACAGCCACAGCCATTCCTTTATGTAATGTCTATAGATGCTTTCCTATAATGGCAGAGTTGAGTTATTGTGACAGAGACCACGTGGCCTTTAAAGCCTAAAATATTTACTATTTACCCCTTTGCAGAAAAAAGCTCACTGACTCCCTGTATATTCAAATACATGCATTTATATGTGCCCATATATGTGTATATATAAGTGTAAATCATCTATCTATCTACCCACCTATCTACCTACTTATCTAATCTACGTAGCTAATATTTTCCTTCCATACCTAAGTAAATCTTTCCTGTAGCTTTTATTTCTTCTAATCAAAGTAATATAAGCCCTGAAGCATAGTAACTATACATCTCTAACCTCTTATTCCACTTTTGTAGTTAAAACTGCTTCAATGCACAAGGCAATGTCTTATTCTACTGAGTGCACACTTTGATAAAACTCAACACGCTTGATATTTACTCTGGCTGGCAGGGAAGTATATTCACCTAGACTCTGGGCCATAAGAGTATCTGATATCCCCACAATAGCAACTTCAAAGGTGATATAAAAATGTTAATAGTTAATATACTAAAGCCCCAAATGCCCATCTGGGGTGGTGGAATTCATTTCCTATCATCTGTAGTTAAAAGAGACAAATTCAAGGTTTTAACTGGGAATTATTTAAGCTGTGTTTTAAATGAATAGTCAAGGAAGAGCTTAAAGATCATTACTTCCAGTGGGAGAATTTTGATCCTAGAATTGAAGACCCTGGCATTTAATTTTTACAAAGTGGCTAACAGGAAGCTGGAGGTAGCCAACGGAACTCAATTTGACAAATGCGTCTCAGATGTTGTGATATAATAAAGCATATATCCAGTCTTTGTCCCTGCTTCCTGGCACAGAGCTTCAAAAACTCTTGGAATTTTCCTGATAGGAGTGTCTGTTTTAATTCCTTACAAGCCCCTTCCCACCGTACCTGAGTTTCTGCTAATAAGGTGATTCATGGTGGGGCTCTACATAGTTTCCAGGGAGGGGCTAACCATGCTAGAAAGACCAAGCTCATTATTACAGGGTTGGAATTTTCAGCACTGCCCCCCTGCCAACCTCCATGGAGAGAAGGGGGACTGAAGATTCAATTCAAACATGTGACCAGTGATTTAATCACTCATGTCCATCTAGTGAAACCTCAATAAAAACTCTGAAAAATGAGGCTCAGAGAGCTTCCAAGCTTATGAACATATCAATCAATGTACCAGGAGGATGGCACACCCTTTAGTCCACAGGGATGGAAGCTCTGGATCTCTCTTCCCCAGGCCTTGTCCTGTTCACCTCTTCCATTTAGTTGTTCTTAAGCTATAACTTTTATAATAAAATGGTAGTTGTAAGTGTAGTGCTTTCAGTGAGTTCTGTAAGTCATTCTACTGAATTATGAAACTTAAAGGGTATTGTAACAACCCTCAAATTTGTAGCCATCTGGGAAGAAGTGCAAGTAGTCTGGGGACACCAAAGACTTGTGGCTGGCCTCTGAAGTGGGGACAGTCTTATGGGACTGAGACCTTAACCTGTGAGGTCTGTAATAACTCTGGTACCTAATGTCAGAATATAATTGAGTTGTATCCACTATATTTCAATTAAAAAAGAATATAATTGAGTTGTAAGACATCCAGTTGATGTCACAGAATTGTTGCTAGAATGCACATGGTAACTTGGGCCAGGCCCAGTGCTAGGTGCTGAGGATGGAAAGATGCGTAAGGCAGTTCTTGATGTCAAGGTGCTCACAACCTGGTTGTGTAACTGTTTAATAAGATCAAAATGTGATTTCAGCATAAGAGGGTGAACCTCATCTTTTAAGAAGGGAGTGAGAGGAGTGGAACGTAAAGAGGAAGCAAAAGGCCCTTGTTTTTAGTGTTTATGAGTAAACTCATTGTAAACTGTGAAAGCTGAGGCTCTGTTCCTGTGTCCATCCTGCAGTTTTATGTGTGCTAATTCTCATTATCTGTTACTGAGTTTGTGTTCTTGGGAAATTCTTCAGGTTTGTGTTCTTGGGGTATTCTTCTTTGCGGGATTTGTAGTTGGTGGGACTATTTGACACTGGGAAAAAGGGGGATGTTTTTCCCAAAGTGAGTAGATGCAAAAGCTCTCACTGGGCTCAGTTATTCACTGGGGCTCAGTGAGTGTCTGTAAATCATTCGTAAAGAACAGTGTCCTTCCTAATGAGAAACGGAATCTTTGGGCTGGAAAGCAAACTGAGTGGGGTGGTTTATAACCTTGAGGGAATTGAGAAGCAAGAGGTATGGCCCTGGACTCTTAACTCCCATATTGAGAAAGGCAACATTATTAAATCAGTGTCTAGTACAGGATGGGTAGGGTTGGAGGAAGAAGGATGGGGAGCCAGGAGAAGATGTTGGATAGAGAATAAAATGACCACGGCAACAACAAAGCTGCAAGAAAAGGATTCCAAGGGGATTGTATCAGTATTATTCTAGCTATTTTAAGCAGAAAAGAATTTAATACCAGGACTTAGGTTTTTACAAAATTGTGGTTGGGCTAGAGCGAGTGGGCTCCAGACTGGGCCTCCTAGTAATGATTTTCAATACAATTTTGTAGAAATAACACACCCAAGTAGTAGCTGCCTTTGCTGCCATAAGACAGCCAGGGACCTAGATCACCACTGGCCCCAGTGCCGGCTCTAGGACCACAGTACTCCAGCTGTGGTCTAGGGCTGAGGAGGGCCACATGTGCCTGAGAGAACATTAGCCTTGCTGACAAAATAGACACTGCCCAAACCATTCCCTCTCTCTCCACCTTCTCCCCACTAAATTCAGTGCTAGTGACTGGAGAACCTATTTCCCATTTGCAACCCAGCTGCAAAAGCATTTGGGGAATTTCGCTTGTATCTTTCTAACTTCTGCAGTGTAGACGGAAATGAGAGCGGATATTGAACAAGTGAACCAATCGACCATAGTTTCTATGGGGTGGTGAAAGGGTACCAGGACATTAGGACTTCTTAGTCTTGCCATCATAAACCTGTACTTGAGAAACTTGGTTATTTTTACGTTCTTTGTAGTTTTGGACAACTATTGTGAGAGTGTGCCAAGAAGGAGATTTCAGTCCATATCTAAGGTAGGGTTTACAAGAGGCAGTAGAATTTTTTTTGGAGGCCTTACATGCTGGTTGGTGACAGCATAAACAATCTCACATGGAGCAGAAAAGAGGGTGAAAGAATTGAGGACCAGGTTCACAGTGATTTCTTTTTACCTAGAAGCTCTAATCCTGAAGCTGTTCTCTTCAGCTTCAGATGAATTTATACTGTTTTAATAAAGAGGCCACTCTCTCATACTTCCATGTTATGGATGTGATCTCTGCTCAGTGTAACAAGTCAAACTTGAAACAGGTGAACCCTCCTTTGGAGAATTTTAAAGAACCCTAGACATATTTAACACAATAATTAAATAATTGGTATATTTAAGCATGAGCATCTTATTCATTCATCGATCAGCTTTATGATCTTTAATTTTCACTCATTTAACAGATATTTATGAAGCACCTACTATGTGCAAAGCACAAGGGAACATAGAAACAAAAGATTGGCTCCCGGCCTCAACTTGCTCACAGTTTAGTGCGAGGTATGACAGTAAATATGCCAAAACACTGGAGTGTTACTAACTGGTGATTATTAGCTAACATCTATGGAGAACTTAGAATGATTTGGGTGCTGTGCTAAGTTTTTTACTTATATTGTTCCACTTAACCTTTATAGTAATCTTTGAGTGTGGTACGATTAACATCCATCTTATAGATGAGGAAACTGAGGTATAGGGAGGTCAACAAATACTTTAAGTGGACTCAGCTATTTAGTGGCTAAAGGACAGCTTAAACCCTGCTGTGTGACTGCAGAATTGAGCTCTTGACCACCTGCTGGGCTGTAGTCAATGGTGAGAACACTAGCCCATACTTTTCATTCAGTCTGGGTAAGATGATTTGGAGAAGTGACCCAGAGAAAGGAGATGCAAATCGACATTTTAGGTTGAGTTGAATGGAACTGACCAGGTGAACAATTGAGGGACCACTTTGGGGGCAGAAGGATCAGTATGGAAGGCAGGCCATAAGGGTTGAGAGAGTAAGTCATGTTTTGGAATTTGCAAGTAGTAATACATGATACACAGTATGGAGTTGTGTACAGGACCGGTGAGAGGAAGGCTTTGTGAGCCTTGGCAAAGAGTTTTATCTAAAATCAGAAGGCATGGAGGAGGAGCTTCAAGAAGGCAGAGGAAAAAGACATGGAGATCACCTTCCTCCCACAAATACATCAAAAATACATCTACATGTGGAACAACTCCTACAGAACACCTACTGAACGCTGGCAGAAGACCTCAGACTTCCCAAAAGGCAAGAAACTCCCCACGTACCTGGCTGTACGTGGCTGACAGGGTATTGGTGCTCCGGCCAGGTATCAGGCCTGAGCCTCTGAGGTGGGACAGCCGAGTTCAGGACATTGGACCACCAGAGAACTCCTGGCCCCATACATGTAATATTAATCAGTGAGAACTCTCCCAGAGATCTCCGTCTCAATGCAAAAACCCAGCTCCACTCAACGACCAGCAAGGTCCAGGAATGGACACCCCTTGACAAACAACTAGCAAGAGAGGAACACAACCCCACCCATTGGCAGAGAGGCTGCCTAAAATCATAAGTTCACAGACACCCCAAAACACACCACCAGATGTGGTCCTGCCCACCAGAAAGACAAGGGGAAGGGGGAAGGGTAAGCTGGGCAAAGTGAGAGAGTGGCATGGACATATATACACTACC